GTTTACCTTAGATAGAAAACTTTAAATCAATCTGACTGGATGATATGGTGAACTGTAAAGTGCCTTGATATGACGTGTGTTGTGAATTGGCGCTATATAAATAAACTGAATTGAAAAAACTGAATTGCACTTTGTGTCAAAACCCCAACATAGTAAAGTCTGAGACTGTTTGATATAAGGGGGCTCTAAATCGGGTCTAGCACCCCTAGTGGCTAAAAGTTACACAGTGCTGCTTTAAATAAAGATATAAAAAAAACTCTGGAGGAGCTGCAGGATTCTACAGCTCAATTTGGGAAATCTAAACGATAAAGGCTCAATAAATCCTGCTTTACAGCGTCAACTGCTTAAAGACCCCATAATATGGCATATTTGAAAATAAAAATATTAACTACTTTCAACTATTTGTGATGGGAAATTCCTCTCAGATTAACAACCTTTACCAAAAAAGCTCTCCTCTGGCTGAGTTGTTTTGGTTTTCCACACCCCGTCTTCCCAAAGGCCGTCCCCACAACCCGTAACCATAACAACCAGTCAAAGTTTGTAAAGATAGCTTAGGAGCGCGGAATGATACATTGGATAAAGTCCGGAGGTTGACCAATGGGCTGCTACAGACCACTGTGGACAGCTTATTTCCCCTTATGACATCATCAGGGGAATGCTTTTTAAACAGACCGTTTTGAGCTAAATTTAGCTAAGAGTTGGAGAAAGGCAATGATAGAAGTGAAAGGGTTTGTTTCATTTGTGAACCTCATACACAGGCTGCAAGACACATTTGACTGTTACAGAATGTTTATTCTGTAATTTTTGCTTAATAGGGACCTTTAAGAAAGATTTTGATAACATATGGTATTTGATAATACATGTAATATTTTGTGTTAAAATCTAAACATGTCAGACAAGCAGAAGTATTTAAATGAGATTGATGGTGACTGGAGCAGGTATGGAAATCCAAAACTGCCACATATTCAATAAATGAAAAAATGGCAAGATTTCTATTTGTAAATGTAAAAATTTAAATGTTACTTGCGATGCGTCCATTAAACAATAGCATACGTTTTTTATCCTGCTTTTTTATTTATTAAACTATTAAATACATATTTTTCTTGCTTCAAGAAAAGTTTGCATTTTTATGGCAGACCTCATTCAAAGATTGAATCTGAATAGAGGGGTAGGGGCCAAAAGTAGGGGAGAATCTAAAGGGCAAAGAAAGAGTAAGAAAGAACATGGAGTCATAATTAAATCTGCGTCCATAAGAAATAGGGGTGAAGAAAAAATTTATTTAAGCTCAAATTGCGTTTCTAACATTTAAAGACTCAGAATCGATTCTCGTTTTCTTTAAAAACGATTTTTTTTTGTGGGTGATCTGTTATATAAACTCCCTAATGAAATGTCTTATTTCAGGTGGTTTTGATTTAAAAAATGGATAAATGTGGTTTGTTTTCACAACGTAGTGCAATTATTAAGACGTGTTCAGCGACTCAGCTCTCCCTAAATCCTTCTGCTGATTGGTCTAATGATATCTCATTACCTCACAGTGTGTTTAGACTCAACGACAAACTGATAAGAGAATTACAGTCACCCAGAGCTTAGACTGAATGTAATGCTAAGTCACTGCAGCATGCTATGGCAGCCATGCTGGGCTCTGCAGACAGCTGCTCTTGCACCTGTTATAATCTTCTTTATAGCTACATTAGGATCTCAGCTGCATGTTGCTTCAACTCTTGAGCTCTTTACCTACATTTGAGGTTGATTTATATCTTTATTCCTCTAAGTAAGTGGTGAAATCATGTAACAACAGTTACTGAATGACGTTTTTCCAGCCAGAAATACTGCAACAGATTAAATGTTACCGTCTATTTTAGGAAAAAAGCCAAAAATTCAGAAAATTTCAACCAGTTGAAAGTAAAAACAAAGGCCCGTCATATGTCATAAATAATAGATTAAAAGTCCTAATTATTATAAGATGTAAAGTCATAATTTTGAACTTTGGTCATAAGTATGAAAGTCATATTTATGAGATATAAAGTTTTCATTTTGACATTAAAAGTCACAGCTGTGAGATATAGTCCTAATTAAGTCCTAATTTCAAGTCTAAAAGTCTTCATTTTAATCTTTAAAGTCATTATTATCCTATTTTAAGTATCTCATAACAAAATCCATCCATCTATTATTCAATCATCCATCCATCCATCCATCAATGCATCCACCCATCCATCCATTCATCCATC